AAGTTTATCAAAAAAGTTTCGCAGAAAGATAATCTACTTCGTCAAAAGAATCATCGATCTTATAAAGTACAGATAATGTACTTGTTTGAACAAAAATAGTTTTGTTCTTTATTGTACAGTCAATACATGAAGAGGAAATATAAACAAATTATTTTAAATTATCGAAGTTACAAGTTGATGAAAGAATGTAATGTTACATTATCGTTTATATCTTTTATTGAAACAATTATCTAACAACGAATATCAACAAATTACCTATACTTATACCAGGGACTTAAAAGACAATTTTTTTTCCATGAACTTGTGTTTATTCACATTAATATCTCATTTTAGCTTTCTTTGCAATTTATGTGTAACAAGAGAAAAAAGACTTGTACTTAAATATGTATATTTGTCTTGCTAAGATGAAGTAGTCAAGTGAGTCTTTCCTTAAATCTTTTCCTAGGTGAAACCGGTAAAACTCTAAAAATATTTTATGTATGCTAAAAGAATACTTGAGTTTAAGGTAAAAAAAAACTTATTTTGAAATAATACTTGAATTGTAAAATAATAATAATAATAGTTTGGGTATGAAGAAGTTTGAATTAAAGAATACTTATAATTTAACAACTTGATATATTTTTACATTTATTACAATTCAACAACTAAGTAGTGAAAAACATAAATTTAAATACATAGGATTATCATGTAAGTAATTTCTAGATAATAATGCAACAATATATATGTAAGAAATAAACAACTACAAACATAAAACTTCTCAGTGAAATTATAACCAAATTATGTACACACACACACACACACACATATATATATATATATATATATATATATATGCAAATATCAAGCTATAAAATACAAAAGTCTTAGGTTGTTAGTTAAACAACAATTATATACACACTACATCAAAACAACATCATGGAAAGATATAGTTATCCCTAGCATGGCAAATCCTCAAGCAAAACTTTTAGTCTAATATTAATCCTTCCTTACTCCTATAATAATATGATCATCACTAACATAACAACATGAAAAAGTAAAGATAAATTTGTATATAATGAAACAACATAATATAGAAGCATATAGTCAACTGTAAAACAACTTCAATTCAATTCCACAACAACAACCAAAGCTCAACTGAACAACACAGATAAGCATATCAACACAATTTAACAACATAACTTATCGACACAACTTATTAACACAACATAGTAACTTAGGCGCCGTCATCAAATATTCCAATTAAAATATCTCTTACAACAGAGATGAGCAGTCTAAGTGGCTTGACCCTATCAAACAAAGAATAACACAATCTTTTTGGCTTGTTAGATCAACAACAAAGTTGGATATCAATCCATTTTCAACACAACATGATTTCTTGAATTTCACCAGTTATACTACGAAAGTCTAGTACTCATTGTTAGGAATAGTATAGCTTGGGTGTGAACTTTCCATTACATTAACATGTATTAATCAAGTCACATGTGAGAATATCCTCGCAATACCACGCATTTTTTCGATAATCAGTTAAGGACTTTATCCCTTAACTTTATACCTTACTCAGATTTGACTATTTCTAAACCAATATAACTCGATCTTGCCTCCATACAATATCAACTAAGGACTTAAAAGAGATTCAACACTCCACTTTAAGAGGAAACAATCTCAAGAAGGGTTTTCTAATAATTGAGCTCTTAAAACACCACAACACATATCTATACAATAGAATATTTAAACTTTTAAAATAACAACTCTTATCTAGTCCTAAGTTTACAACACAATTCAATAAGATGCATTATGCATCTTACAACACAACACAATTCCATAAAATCTCATGCCTCATGCATATCACATACAACTCAACACAATATGTCTTATGCATCTTACAACTCAGAGAAAAATATAACTTAGATGCTACATGTTTAAAGAGCACCCATCACTCTAAGCGCAACAAGGCACGCTCTAAGTGAGCAAAATTTGCTCCAAGCACTTCACACCTCACTTTGAGCGAGCTCAAATAGGGACTACACCTGGAAGGTGAAGTTAGCTCACTTAAAATTAAAATATATTATATTTATTTTAGATATTTTTTTCTCCTTTTAAGATTGAGATTTTAGGTCAATAAATAAAGATCCGTGAGATGAGAATAACCATCCAACTTCTAGAATGGGGTCATTGCCTTAAATGAGAGAGACGATATATGGAGGAGTGTTTACCAAGTTTCAACATAAAATTTATGTAGAGGTTTTCCAAGTTATGTCCAAAAAACTTGTAAAGGAGGGTTAACCAAATTTTGTCAAAAAACTTATGAATGAGGATTTGTCAATTTTCACCAAAAAACTTGAGGAGAAAATTTTCAAGTTTCACCCATAAAAATTGTAGAGAGATGTTTTCAAATATTACCCACAAAACTTAAATGAAGGATTTTCATATATATATTTGATCCATTTTGAGATAATAAACATCTGTAGATATAGACATGAGGAGTTGAATTACGTTAAATAAATTTTATATGTGATTTTTTTCAAATTTTTTATTTCTTTATGGTGTTAACTTATTTATATTATTTCACCCTTATACATAAAAGAAAAAGTTTATTTATTTTTGTTTCTAACAATAATATGATATTTAAAATATATTTAAATATTTATTATCAGATAAAATATCTAGAAGAAATTATAATAAATTTGATATATATGATTATGAGTATAATATGACATATAATTTCAATAACTTTAATAACACATACTATTAA